TAATATAATTCTGACCACATACTGTTCATTTTAATAACATTTTAACCACACAGTTCCTTTAAATAACAGCATCTTAATAACACACCGTTTTCTAATAATATAATTCTGACCACATACTGTTCATTTTAATAACATTTTAACCACACAGTTCCTTTAAGTAACAGCATCTTAATAACACACCGTTTTCTAATAATATAATTCTGACCACATACTGTTAATTTAAATAACATTTTAACCACACAGTTCCTTTAAGTAACAGCATTGTCGTTTGGTTTGAATTTTGTGTAAAGCTACTCTCTACGCTAGCCGACTTTAATTTAGAAGTGATAGACTAGAGGGAAGGCAGATAGTCAACACCACCCATCACCAACTCTTTTACCAACGAACAGTAGGATTGATCATCACGGTATAACGCCCTCCACGGAAGAAAGGGCGAGCATGTTCGGTGACAAGAGTTCGAACCCGCGAACCAAAGACTGCGAATCAAGAGCCCTAACCATTAGGTCATGCCAGGCCTAACAACATTTTAATTGCAAATAATATCTACACGTACGTTTAAATAACGGCATTTTAACTACACAAAGTTGATTTAAATAAGAGCATTTTAACCTCACATTGTTCATTTAAATAACAGCGCCTTAACCACACACTGTCAATTGAAATAACAGTATTTAAACCATACAGTATTCATATAAATATTAACATTTTAATTACACATTCGATTTTAAATAATAGCAATTAAGAACTTTTAATTTGGGTTACACAATTTTTACCACACATTGTTAATTTAAATACATTTTAACAACACATTGTTCATTTACAAGTCGTTTTAACAACACATTGTTCATTTACAAGTCGTTTTAACAACACATTGTTCATTTACAAGTCGTTTTAACAACACATTGTTCATTTAAATACATTTTAACAACACATTGTTCATTTACAAGTCGTTTTAACAACAAACTGTTCACTGAACACCTCCTCACAATCGGTATCATGACATTTTACTGCCGTAGTAAATGAATGCCGGTGCATTTTACATAATTATGTTCTCAAAACAAAACATTTTCTAGCACAGTGAACTAATAAACTATCACACTAAACTTGATTTAAAACTATATTGAACAATAAAGTAACTGAAAAAAAAAGGCTACCACATATAGCAAATACGTATACTATTATTTATGTTTACACTAGTACAAATGTTATGACGTAATTTTCGTGTTCAAGGTTTCTTGACATGATAATAGTTGTTTTTATAATATTCCGATAATATAAATTCTTTACATGCAGAAAACATTCAAATGAAATAATAAATTGCTGCATCCCTTTCCAACGGCAGTAAAATGTTGGAAGTCAAACGACAGTAGTAGAAAGTCATAGAACCCTCAGAATCACGTTTCAATTATATACGACAAGCTGGTAAGCTTACATTTCATATTAGAGGTTTAAAAAACACTATAGATTTTTTCAGTTGTTGGTATTTCTTCCACGCATCCCCTACATCAATTTCTACAAATATTTCATGACTGGTGAATCATTCTGAACTGTTTTACAATAGTTTAAATGCGATAATGCAAACTGAAGCCTTTAATATGACGTAGTATATTAATTAATATTAGATAGATGAACCAGTGATCAGCCAAAAACGTTATTTTTGATACTGATAACAAGTTCAAGATATCCGCTTTACAACAGTCCTCGACCTTTGTAACAACACAAAGTAACAGAGCCCACAAATCAACATCATGCGATAAAGTATTCTCTTGTAAATTTGAACAAAAACAAAACTAAAGCATATTTTTAAGCTTTCAACGTTCTTGTATTGTGCCTGTATAATTTGTACAGTAAATAGGCAGACAAATGTACAATAAGAGTCTAAACAATCCCTAGTGAATGCAGTATACAATAAATAAGCAAACAAATGTGTAATAATGATTTAAATAATGTTTACGGTGAACAGGAAGAATGTTGTGTAATGATAGACTAAAAATCATTAATAAATAATGTTTACGGTGAACAGGAAGAATGTTGTGTAATGATAGACTAAAAATCATTAATAAATAATGTTTAGGGTGAACAGGAAGAAGCTTTTATAATGGCGGTCTAAATAATCCATTACCTGAAAATGTTTCTGGTGAACATGAAGAATGTTGTGTAATGACTGTTTAAAAATAATTACTGAATAATGTTTACGATGAACAGGAAGAATGTTGTGTATTGACTAAAAATCATTAATAAATAATGTTTAGGGTGAACAGGAAGAATGTTGTGTATTGACTAAAAATCATTAATAAATAATGTTTAGGGTGAACAGGAAGAATGTTGTGTAATGACGTTCTTAAAATCATTACTGAATAGTGCTTTTGGTGAACAGCAAGAGGGTTTTTGTAACGACGGCCTAAATAATCCAATAATAAATCATGTTTACGATGAACAGGAAGAATGTTGTGTAATGACTAAAAACCATTAAGAAATAATGTTTAGGGTGAACAGAAATAGTGTTATGTAATGATGGTGTAAAAATAATAACTGAATACTGTTTACATAGTATAGGAAGAAATTTGTCTGTGATCATTTATAAAATTTAAACAGATGGCCTTAAGAACATTAAATTTTACTAAATAAAATTTCTTCTCCTACATTATTTGTTTACAAACATTTCTGACAGTTCTACTGGTTAACCCTTTATTTCTGCATTTGTTTCTTTCTATAGATATTTTGAATCAATTTCATGTTGACATTTTCGACTGAAATATTGTCCTCTTTTCAAAGTTTTGTTACCCTATACTTGATTTTGTATCTTTCAGAATGAAAGACTGGTTTTTATTAGGTGGCTGATTCACTCTCTTCACAAACTCATGTTTTATAATTTTCACGCAAAGCTAGTTTAGGGCTATCTGTTCCTAAATTTGAAAGATAGACTAGAGGGAAGATAACTGGTCAACAGCACTCATTCCCAACTCTTGTCTAACCAATAGTGGAATTTGATCATCACTCTTATTGGTCACTCTGTGATATTAGAAATCGATCACTGTGAATTGTACACAAGTACACAAAAAGGTCAGAATGCAATCACGAAGCCATGACTCATAGCCTATATCACTTCATTGGTTAATCGTTGGTCACTCTGTGATATTAGAAATCGATCACTGTGAATTGTACACAAGTACACAAAAAGGTCAGAATGCAATCACGAAGCCATGACTCATAGCCTATATCACTTCATTGGTTAATCGTTGGTCACTCTGTGATATTAGAAATCGATCACTGTGATTTGTACACAAGTACACAAAAAGGTCAGAATGCAATCACGAAGCCATGACTCATAGCCTATATCACTTCATTGGTTAATCGTTGGTCACTCTGTGATATTAGAAATCGATCACTGTGATTTGTACACAAGTACACAAAAAGGTC